ACGGGGCTAGCGCGCACGCCGGTCGTCGGCGAACGGAGCCCCCTCGAGCCGGGCCCAGCTGCCGTCTGAGCTCGTTTCTCTGAAATCAATAGCTCAGCAGCCTGCACGTTTGCTGATGGGCAACGGGCCCTTTCGATTTCATTGAGAGCAGCTATTTGTAAAACAACATGGCACACAACCTTCCCGAGCACAGTAAAGTCACAATTTTTCCCTTTCCAAGCGGTGACAACAGGCACCTGCTGAAGCCCAGTGACAATGAGCTCAGAGAGGAGAAAAACCAAAGCAGCAGGAAGGCAAAGCACCTTATTCTAGGCCTGGTCCGCGACTGTTTGCTGCAAAAGGTACGGAGCAGCCTCGAGTCCACTGCAAATCCTGCTAAAATCTAGGAAAGAAGCAACACTGGTGAGAATCAGGCCCTTTGGTGGGGTTGCTTGCAACAGCCTAGCCTCCCTGAAAACCCTTTTCCCTTTCATCCTCCGGCCGCACTGAAACTGCTCTGCTCCGGGCTGCTGCGCGCCGCGCTCTCTTCTCCACCGCTTACCCTCGCTCTCCCCCTGCTTCTCACTTTCACTCCCATTGGTTTCATGTTCCCTTTGCCATGCGGAAAAGCTTTCGAGCTTATCCAGCCCGGCAGCAGAGTTTATCCTGGTTCCACCCACCGGGACTTTCCTAGCTTCCTTCTGCACAGCGAGGGGGGAAAAAAAAAAAGCCAGACGGCGGCACACAGCAGGCACCTCCGGTAGCACGGGGAAAGCGGTGCTCTCTTTCCCTGAGCTAGGTTTCTATTGTAGGCGGTGCATTCCTTGGGAGGGAGGGTGTGTGTGTGCGGTGCCTTCCCACACTCAAGGCAGCTCTTATTTAATGGGGGTCTCCATGCAGGGCAGAAGCCAGAAGAGATTTTGCTGTTCCCTGCTCCCGTTCAGGGAACAGCAGCTCGCACGTCAGGCGTCGGCATGGACCGTGTGGCCGAGATAGCCCTGGAGGAAGAGGCTGCTATGACCAACCAAGCCTCCAGGATGCACCTCAAGGAGGATTTGAGGAAAATACGATGCAGCGTGTTTCTGTGCCTGCTCTCCGTGCTGGTCCTCGCACTGCCCACAGCCTATCTGCTGGCTGGAAACCTCCGAGCCCCCAGCACATGCTCCAACCAGGTAAGAGACTGCTGTTTTCTGTCCTACCACACTGCAACAAGGAGAGCGCGGCTTCCAGCATCTCAGGAGTTGGGTTTGTTTAGCTCTTTTTTTTCTCTAACAGGTGGGTGATTTAGGAGAACTTGAGAAACTTCCTATTAGATGCCTTCTTCCTCACTCAGGGCCAATCTGCTAGGGATAAATCTTGTTTATTCTGTTTGGTCTTTTTAACTGACGGTTTTTGTTCCTCTTCTCTTTAATTTCACTAAGGTCACAGTGCAAGGTACAACTTGAAAACTTCTTGTTGGCAAACTGCAGGAAACTCTTTAAAGAAACTGCTAGTTGATGGAAATCAGTGTCCCTCCACTGATTTCAGCCAGATTTTGGCAGTACATCTCATTTTCCTCCCTACTGTCAGATTAACTCCAAGACCTCCCCTGCCAACGTGCTATTTCAGCAAACATCTGCTGACTATGCTGCTGATGTCAGTGGGTCAAATGCTCGGCATGCATCGGGGGAGGCAGGCAGAGTCCTCAGCAGTGCCTTGTTAACGCAATCTCCTGCTGAGAGAGTGTCTGGGACAACTGCCAAGTCAGATGCTAAAATGTACATCCCTTCCTTTTCATGCTCCATCCAAACTTTCTCATTTCAGCTTTCTCTGGTTGAAGGAAGACATACGCCTGTATGTTTGCAGAATTAGGGTTTGAGGAATTTTAGCTTCAGGTCTGAAATCCATTGACTAGCCCGACTGTCACATCAAACTGTCACTTCAAAACAGCAAAAGAAAACAGTGTTAGTAAGTTGCCTCCAAGGCAAATTTCTATCCTGGCAAACATTTTCCCTATGAGTATTTAGGCTGACAGCTGTGCTCGGGGCTGTGCACATGCACGCTCACAGATGTGCAGAGAAGAGCTAGCCTCAGTTTGACCTCCCATCTGCACAGCTGGCGCCTTGCACCCAAGCAGAGCTCTCCAGGAAGTCACCCGTTTATAACTTTGTGCATAGCTGAAAGGAGATGTGGTTGTCCTGCCCAGGAGCTTAGATTGGCACATTTGGTGGTTATGTGCACGTGCAAAAGTGTATGTTACTGCCCTGTCCCTGTTATTGCTATTTAGGCCAGCTGGACTGGATGCACAGAGTGAAAAAGCACTTCCGACAGTCACACACACCTGCAGCGCTCTTTCTTTTCATATCCTTATCCTGTGAGGTTCAGTTCACTTCTTTTAAGGATCTTGGAGTGATATGAAAATAAAACGCCAGCCTGTTTGATAGAACTAATATATTCCTAGCTCTTGACGTTGTCTGGCAGAGTTAATGGAGGAAAGTCTATTTCTGTGAACGGATTTGGCTGCACAAGAGAGAAGGTGCGATGTAAACTTTTCAGGTGTGCCCTAGCCTGGATGACGCTTGAATGTATTTCTATGCATATGCACTGAATTATTTGAACATAGTATTGCCCTAATGATGTAATGAGGCGATCAGATGAGTTACAGTCTTTGCAAATCCCAGGGAGGAAGAAAAAAAAATCATCACAGCTGGCCTGCTGCCATCTGTGTTTGTGCCAAGCCAAATGGGTGGAGCACCCTGGTACAATTAAAGTGGATACAGCTTTTTCTGAATCTTTCATTCACTCCACTGATTACAGACCGCATTGTGAGGGCTTTCCAGCAGCAGAGCACACGTGGGCATTTATGTCTTCCTGTGCAGCTTTCTTTTAATCCCACAAAGAGTGTCACGGCAAAGGCACTCAGCCCTGCAGCTCCAGCTCACTGCCGTAGCCTCTTCAGGCAACAGGGAATGATTTGGGGTATAAAAGCTCTTCGGAAAGCCAGGGTCTTGTTGTCTTGCATTTCCTTCTGCATTTGAAGAGTTAGAGCCAGGTTGCTAAAGGATGCCGTCTTCACATGGCCTGCTGAGAGCCTGAGCCAGGACGACTAGGTCGAGACCAGACACTCATGGTGGCCCTGGTCTGGGGGCTGCGGATGCGCTGGGCAGGCTGGAAGCAGGTGGGCAGGCAACAGTTTGCACCAGATGTGCGTTTACTTGATGACCCTTGTAGGCAGCAAGCAGGGAGCAATGGGAGGAGTCCTCTCATTGCCCGGATGACTGAGCTCGGCCCACACATGCCAGAAAACCAGCTTTCCAGGGCAATTGGGTTGGTCCTGGGAGAAGGGAGGGACCCAGCGCCAGCATCTCCTGGGAGGGATTAGCACAGCGGAGCAGCGAGAAGCAGATGAGGTAAAATCCTGTGCCTGTAGTAAATTCCTCTGCCTGTTCTTCCTGGAGCAAGGAGGAGGAGAGGAGGTTGTGCAACACGGGTGTGCCTCTTAGATTAGCCCACAAGATGAGGCAGTTTATTCATCTCTGTTTTTGCGTGGGTGCACATGGTGTCACATTCTGCCTCTAAGGGGGTATAAACTCACCTCTTCGTCTAGAAAAGTCCAATTCAGGACAGAGCAGGGCAAGTTATGTCATTACCGCAATATGTGTGAACCACTGGTTTTGTCTCATGATATACTGTGTCTTGCATGAATTATTCAAGTCTGAAGCTGGTTTTCTTGGATACCTTCCAGGCTCACTACATTGCTTCCCTTTTGGAGACAGCAGTTACTTTTTTTGTGCTCTAAGACAGCATGGTGAGGAAACAGGGTTCACTAGGCAAATAACTCATGTCTTAGATTATTAGCAGGAAATCTGTAAATGGCTCTGGCTGTGTCCTTCCAGAGGAAAGGCTAAGACTTTAGTGCACGCTCCCTCAAAGGGGAGCCAAGTTTCAGGCTGAGTGTGCGCATCTGCCGAGGGGAATGACACAGCAGCCAGGAGTGCATCTCCAGCTGCCTTAGCAACCCGCACCACTAACCTTATAACAGGCCACTGAGTCCCACCGCATGCACACTGGCTCTTGGGCTTGCTTGCGTGGCAGCATCGGAACCAGAATAAAGGGAAATTCAATCCAAGCCCAATCCAAAGGGTTGCACAAAAGCCTGGGTGCCGTGACAGTCTTGCAATAGAGAAAGGAGCTGCTGGAGGGACTTTAAACTCCTGGTAGCTCTGCCTGGATCTCTCTAGCACATCAACAGGATGTTAGTAACTGAGCTCAGAAAAGGAGCGAAAAAACCATATTCATGCAGAGCCAGAAGCCCTAATGGCCTACCCTAATGGAAAAGAGAAGCTGAAACAGCTTACTGATGTGTAAGGATGGAGAAGCGCCTGGGGAGGAGTGAGCATTTCATCTAGACCCAGGAAAGTGGGACTCCACTCCCAAAGGCTAAAGCCAGTAAAACTACTGACTGACCATTGCTGCTTGAGGAATACAGTCCTAAAGGGCAAAGAAGCCAGGAAAAGCAAACCACACCTGCCCTGGGCACATGCCCATCCAGGCTCTTTGCATTGCACTCCAGAGCACAGCGGAAACGTCCACCTCATGGTTAGTTTTCACTGGCAATGAAACCAGCCGCTACCTAATATGCCTAGCCTAGGCTCTATATAGCATCCCCGGAGCTAGCAGAATCACTGGTGTGTGTAGCATGGGTGCACTATACAGACCCTAGCTGTAAAATAGTGTCTTGTGATAAAAACGTGATAAAAATGTGGTGGAGCTGCTGAGGGTAGTTTTGCCTATTAATCTCTATGCCTCTGGTGCCAGGCTGCTTTTACCGGTGCAGTTCTCTATTGGACACTCCCAGCCCTTTCTTGAGGTGGGAGAGGCAAAGTAGGTGGACAGAGGATGTTCAGTTCTTCTCTTCTGTTTTAGTGTTATGTGGATCTAAGTGCACTGGGGCTTTTACGTGTTCTTGGTATCCAAATAATATGGAAGTGTTTTGCAAACTCCAGTCTTCAGAGTAATTAGAGCTGGCCATGTGAGAAGTCCTTTGTCCCCAGGTCAGCTCTGTGGTGGGATTTTCAAAATCACTCAGCCCTGGTTTACAGTTTTTCCACAGTAACCAAAGGGAAAATTGAAGCCGTGCTGTGAACCTTTCAGAATCACAGCTAAGCAAGAAAGGAGAATAGAGAAAAACCACTATTTGTGTAAATGATTTCTCTTTACTGTCTCATGCTGCTTAGCTTTTCATCACGTTTCTTCCTGAAAACTCTTTATTTACCACATCTAAACCAAACACGTACAAAATCCATGCCTGTTTAGTATAAATATTACTGATACCTTGCCATTACATAGCGTTTTTACATGCTAAAATATTTTACATAGGAGTTTTATGAGTCCTGTATCCTTAGCAAACAGTACAGGTAGGGAAAAACCATGCCTTTGCCGAGCATCAGAATAATTTCACACATCCCAGCACCCTGCTCTATCTACTGCACCACACTGTCTCCTTTAGCATCTAGAAATGCAGCTACCGCAGCTGGAGTTTCCATCAGATATTCTTAGGAAATAAGTAAATTAAGGTTGCATAGAAAGCTTCCTCCCAGTTTTCAGTCAAAAAACATTTTGGAGTTTTTGATAAAGTAAGATTCTTTTCGAGATTCTTCCTATTTTCTCATCACCTCTGCTTGTATCGCCAAGTCTGAGTTCTATAAACTGCTTAAGCACAGGTTATCTATAAATACATAAGTAGTCCCACTGGAGTTACATGATTTAGTTAGTTTATGATTGATTTGTAGCTTTTTATGGTACTTGGCATCACTAGCAAATATGTAACTTGATAAATAAGTAGGCAATGTCACGTTGATAATAGTGTAGTTAGGTAAACACACTCATATTCATGTGCATCTGTCCCCAGAGAGAGGAGGAGAGATGGAGAGAAATCCTCCACAGTGATCTCATGCTTCCCACCAGAGGAAGGACAAAGTCACCTGGCTATGACTCCGGGGTGCATCAAAAGTATAGTCATGGTTAGACACCACCGCGAGCGGATGGGACCTCGGAGAAAGTCACTGGTCATAACGAAAGGCCCAGACACCTCATCCACAGCACAACACCATTCCTCTCTGTCAGGCGCACGCTGAGGCACTGTCACAGCCTCGTCTCCTCTGGATGACGTTGCCCGCAGCACAGCACGTCCCTGCAACTGGGGCAAACGCCTGGGCAGGCAGGAAAGGCAAAAAGATAGAACTTGCCCTGCTGTTTTACTTGCCCATTTTTTTCCTCCAACATGCTGGAGCCATTATTTTAGAACTGACAGTTATCTGCAGGATATTGCAGAGCACACAGATGTTTGCTGTTAGTGAGACATTCAAATTTCTTTGGGCTCACTAGCTACCAGTCCCCAAACCCTGATAGCCTGACTGCCCCCCAACCCCTTCTTGCCCCAGCCAGCATAAATTTTCTATTTTCTACTTTACTTGCAACGCGTGAGAGACAGCGACCAGCAGATAGCCTAGATACCTGCATGTTGATATGATTACAGCCCGTGTGTTAGCTGATGTGCATCCAATCCTTAGCTGAGAGTTGATCAGTGGCAGTTTCCCCTATTCAATGTGCAGGGAAATCTGTTTATTGTAACTATCTACAAAACATGCCAGAGAACGCAAGCACGTTGGATGGATGCTGCATAGCAGGGTTCCCAACAGCCCAGGTCCCACAGACTCAGGTGGCTGCACAGCCCCACCTACCCACTTTCTACAAGCAGGCCATCAGCACAGACCTGGAATAAGCTGTGCCCCGCAGAAAGCCTGAGAGATGCTGTTGGATGAGTGCTCTGCACACCCAGATAGGCCAGATCCGCACTCAGCTTCCTGCTACCTAATTCCCTCAGGGCTGTGCTAATTTGCAGCCTGCATTAAGAGGATCAGTACCCAGCAAGGAGCTGCTGGCTGTGTTAAAGAGGAAACACCAGCTCTGGCAGGCACATGACAGATAAACCCAGCTTTGCGTTGAGCTGCTCTACATAAACGTCATTACTGCCTAGCGCTGCCCAGGGCCATACCCTACTGCTGTGTAACTGGGTGTTTGTGTGGGGCAGAGTGATGAGCGTTGTGGTGCTCAACTCTAGAGGAAAATTTAGGACGTGAATAACTGCAAGCCGGTGCTGCGATTCCTTGATTAAGTGCCAGCTTGCCTTGGAGCTCAGGTCTCTGCCAGCTGCAGTCCCTGAGCTGTTCAGCTCCTGTCTGTCTTCCTAGAAGACTACGCAAAACTCAGGACCTAAAATAGATTGAAGTCTGAAACAGCATAAAGCAAAGTGAGCAAGAGAGCGAGCAGCTCTGTAGCTGATACACCCCAGTAACACTCTTCACTGGTGTTATGAGTGCACTGAGTGCCACCTAAGGCTCAGCCCTCCCAAGCTTTCAGACAAGAGGAATCGCTCACTTGGCTGTGCCCTGGCTTCAGTTTGCTGTTTCATTGTGCAGAATAAGGGCCCAGGGAGACTCTCTAATACTCCAGCAGTGCTGGAGGGAGGCACTGTCCCAAAGGATGGCTAGCGAGAGCTATTTTACACTGGCACATTATGCCAATCCTTCCTCAGTTACGCCAACGGTCTGTTCAGCCTCCAGTCAAGCATATAGTTAAACAGAGCAACAACCACAGGCCCGCAGGTCCTGTCTTTTGCACCTTTTCTGAGACGTAGGTGGTTGGTTTCAAGTCAACAACAGAAAGTTCTTGCAAGGAAGCAACGTTCTGTCGGGGCTTGTCCTTTTGCATGAAACCTTTACTGAAGCAAGCTGTTTCCTGGGATAAATCAGACAGGACTTTTCCATGGTTTTAGTGTATGCCTGGAGCCCAAGTACTGGGAGCTAACTGCTTGCTGCTCTCTCCTGCAGGTTGCAGACGAGAGGAGCGCTCTGTTTCTGAAGCAGCGGGCACTGGCTACCGGTAAGTTTGCCCACCCTTTCCACCATCCAGAACACCTTCATCCACTGTGATTTTGCAATCGCTGCCGCAGCAGCCTGCTGCACCGCACTTGAGGGCGGACACCTTCCCACCCTCCCTCCGCTCTCACCACCCAAATTCCTCCCAAGTCTGGGCAGACCACGGGCAAAAAACTGGGCCACGAAAGTCGGGTAGACAGGTTATAACTGAAGCCATAGGCAAAGGATAAGCGTTTCTGAACTGAGGGCACGGCAAAAGCACGGATGCGGGGGAGCCTGCGCACGCCACGCTCCCATCCGAACGTGGGCGAGCTCAGCCCCTGCACTTCCCTCCCTCCTGCACTTTGCGCTAAGACACTGCTGCAATTGGTGCTGCCGAAGCCTCGCGGTTCAGTGCCACAGAGGGACTGATAAGCTCTTTGCAAAGAGATTTTATTACCGCAATGCCTGCCTCTTGTCAATAAACAGTCACAGTAAATAAATCCCTGCTCAGATGTATGCGGAAAGGGAAAGGGGCTGTGCACATTTCCTCTGGGGGATCGATCACTGCCCGCATCCGATTGATTTGAAGAGCAGCAAACACCCTTTCACACCTTTTTCTTCTTTCCTCTTCTAGGTATGGATATGCTTTCCAGTGCAGAAAAGCCAAGGGCACACCTGACAGGTAACGCTTGTTCGAAAATGAAGCATTTCCCTCAGGTTTTACAGCAGATTTTGTAAAGCAAATAATCTCAGGTCGCATGGCTCTGATAGGATCGAGCGTTGCAGGCCAGGAAATATAGGGAAAAGCAAGTTATCAGCTTCGTTTTGTTGACTGTTACAGGTTTACTGGGGTCTTCATTTGTGTAAAACGGTCTGCAGCAGCTGGTAGTTGAAACATTACCTCTTTTCCAGGCTGGTTTTCTTCAATGAAACAAGCACTCAGACCAGCTCTTGTAATCGAACTTAAATAAACACCTGGTATTTTAGTGATCTGTTGAGCTCTCCTGGAAAAATCAATGGCAAAAGCTCAAGAGAGCCCTTTCTGATTCACAGTGGTGTGAGAACTACCAGTTTTTGAATCAAAATCTGGTCAAATAAGGTCAGTTTTCAGCCCTTGTTTTTTTCTGCAAGTCCAGACTCAGTTCATACGCATTGTATTCCCACCAAACAACCTCCCGTCTTCATTGAAGACACCTCTAAATCACATCCGAGGGAGCAAGGGAAGAGTTAGACCTAGCTGAACCTCTTTGAGCCCCTATCTACGTTAGGGAGAGAAAGGCAATTATCTCACAGCACTATCATGGAATGGAGATGATCATACATTTTTGAGGGGCAGACAGCATTTGAAAGGCCACCATCTCAGCACTTCTGCCTTGAAAGTGCAGCTGGCGTTACACCAAGGACACTGAGTCATCCCTCATCCTAGCCAGCTCCCCCCTCTTGGAAACTTCAGGGATTACCAGAGACGAAGAACAAGTGTATGGCTGGTTCCCATGTGGATGGCATTGAGTGCTGAAGGGTTCTTTGACTGATCTGAACTTCTCCCGCAAAAAGCAATTTCCACCTCCCAAAAATACAGCTCACTGCAGGCTCCTCCAATACTCTGTGTCTTGCTCCAGGGGAGCACTTAGTAACTTCAAGCGTGCAGGCAGTTGCATGAAGCTGCACATGAAATTACAAACAGTGCTAAACAGAACATTGCATCTGGACTGAGTCCTGTCCCAGCACGATTTACTCTTTCTCGTCCACAAGTCCCTTGCTAACACGCATCCTAGGTCCCGTCCCCTTTTCTATGCAGGTTGTCAGCACCCCAAAACTGACCCATCCTTGCTCAAAACACATCTGTGCTTAAATGCAACTTTGCAAGACCAAAAGGACCACGTCCAATAATAGAAGTCTTTTTGACTTCCACTGAGTCCCTGTATGACAGAGAGAGACCCAGAGGCTCCCAGGGCAGCTGACTCAGAAGAGCAGCCAAAGCACTGCTCTCCTGATGGGGAAATTCCATAGGTTGCACAAAAATCCAGTTACCTCTGGGAAGCACCCAGTAGTTTGCTTCAAATTTCCTCAGGCCCTCCACTTGCAAAAGCTACTTAGCAGTCCCTTCCTCAGCAGTCTCCACAGGAGAGTGTCTTCCTTAGCCCGTTATTTGGGCCCAGTTGGCCACAGCAGGGAGCCTGAAGAAGAAAAAGGCAGTAGCGTTTTAAATGTTTCCTATAACACCAGAAACATCCAGGCTTTGACTGTATGAGCGATAGAGCTTGGTCTGACCCAGCTTGGTGGTCCTATACCGAGCAGCTTTGGCCAAGCAGAGGTGCTTACGATGTGCCCTGGTCCTTTTCTGTACAATAGGGAATAGGGGATCTGAGCTGAAGGCTGCATCCAGGCTGCTGCATTACACAGCTATCAGAGAACCTAACTTCCCTGAATTTAGCTAATCCTTTTTTGAGCTTAAGTAGATTTTTCGTCTCTATGGTATCCTGCAGCAAGGAGTCCCCCAGCTTAATGACGCATCACATCAAAAGATACTTCCTGTTCTTTGCTTTAAACCCATTGTACAATAATTTCTTGGGTGCCACCTTGTTTTTCTGTTCTCAGAAACAGTGAATGGTACATAGAAAGTGAAAAAGGAATAATTATTCTTTAGAGCTTTGTTACATTCCCCTACTTCAGGTACCGTTTTGAAAATGAAAGCACTAGATGACATACTCTCACCTCACAGGAAAGCTCTTCCAGACCTCTGACTGCTCCTCTCTTTCCTTCTCTAGTTTTAGAAATATGTATTTGGAAGACAAGAGCAGAGGAGCAAGGAGAATGAGAACCGAGTACTACATGGGAATGGCCCCCCAAATTAAGCAGTAGTAGATGACTGCTTAAGTTGCATCCTCCACATGCTCTTGGCCTTTTCAACACATAGAGCGTTTTGAACTCATCGACACTGGCACCAAGAGCTCCAACCTGGGTGGCTATAACTAGTGAAGGATGATGTACTTAGCGTCAGTTAGGGCTTTTGTCCGTTCGCATTCTGCCCTGTGCGCTGCTTTATATTTATCAATGCTGACTGCACCATGCCAGGCCATCATCCTCTCCCTCACTTGGCTGCAGTTCGGGTCAGGATGCAGACCAGTGCCTATTTCTCCTCGCTGCCAGCCAGCTGGATGAACTCTGTTGTAGCTGATGGCAGTACGAGGAACTCCATCAAGTATTTGCCTGCTGCAATGGTATTTGAGCACTCCACAAAATCTAGGTAGAAAATCACTTTCTGGTTCCACTTAATGGTTGGACATAGTGACCTTTGAAGGTCAGTCATTAAACTGCCAGGGCACAATCTCGAACAGTTCTGAGATCTTTCAGCCACTGGACACTGTAATATGTGCTGTAAAAGAGCCTTCTTCTATAGCAGATTCAGACTCTAGTCTCTTGCTGAGATCAGGAATCTGCCCTCAGAGGACAGCGACTGGCATCAGACTCTCACGCTGGTGAGGGCAGTGCATTGTAGGACCCCAGCAGTTCACCAATACAGCACCAGAAAGACATCCAAAAGCTGCCAGGCAAAAGGATTCCCCGGCAGGGGACTAAACCAAAAGGGATTTAGGGAAAAGAAAAAAAAAATTCACACGCAAAAGATGCAAAAAGTGAAAAATACATGGAAAAGCTGAAGTAACCATAGCAATTAACCTCTCATTAAAAGTCGATTCTATATACTTTTTAAGAATGAGCATAATATGTGTATTTGCAGGAAGTACTGCTGCACGTATTTGTGAAATAAATACATGACTAATGCAACTATTGTTAGAAAAGGAATAATATTGTCTCAAAGGCACTTAACCATGCGTTTTGCCTCTTGACATGTCTCTAAAACATGAGGAAAATAGTTTGAAACCAGAGAGCATCATTACAGGGAGCTCTAACCTAAAAGGAGGGTTATAGTTATAAAACTTAGAGTTGCCCAATTCTAGAGGTTATGAAATCACATACTTCATCCGAGATGCTTATTAGTTATAAGGAAACATTGAAGAATTGAGTGTCACTGACATTTAAAATGCGTCACTGTACACAGAGAGAAAACATTTCACATGCAGATTCTCCTTGATTTTTCCCCAAACTTCTCAAGATGGAAAAGAGCCCAGGGTGTTTTCCGGAAATTTCCTAATCCTTTCTGGTGCTTTCCACGGCAAAGAAGCTTTCTCCTGCCACTACCTCACCTTTGAGAGGTACTACTGCAAGCTGCGATGAAACTTGCAGTGACCCAAAAGCTGCTTTAGCTTTCGCGAGGACTCAGCCCAGTCCCTAGACACCCAAGAGGTAGATGAGGGTGAAGGCAGACCGCAACTACTTTTGCTTTCTTTCATTCCTCTCTCGCTCAGGCACAGCTTCACTGGCTCAAAGCATCACAGTTTGTAATACTTTTAATTTAGCTTGGCTTGTTATCACAATCCCTATCACTCACCCATGCAGGAATACTCTCATGTGCTTTGGCTCGTGGGGAAAGATCAGAAAGATTTACTACTTCAGCACCACTGACAGGCAGGCTGAGAAAAGCCGTTCTTGTGTTGTGCTGCTCAGAGAGCGTGCAAGAAACTGCACTCCTCACATCTCCTTGTCTCCTTATGGACTATTCACTGCCGGAAAAGCGGGGAGGGGAAAAAGCTGGGAGCCGAGTCCATTCGTTTATCTTGAGTGAAATGAGATTCAGAAAAACTTAACAGTTCTTGCCTGAAAGAGCATTTCAAAGCTTTTTCTCACCTGCATTCAGTTTGCCTCCCTGCCCACACACAGACTGAAAATCACCTCTAAATATTAACTCAAGTTCATGAAAAAGAAAAAGGTCTGGTTTCCTAGAAATCAGCTGCTTCCATCTTTCTTGGCATTTCACATTGACTCTACAGGTTCCTTTTAATACATGGCATGGGTTTTTCCTCTTTTTTTAATTTCCCTGCCTCAGCTGCTGTTTTTACTACGAGTTTTTCATCACAGTCGCTAAAGGGCAGAGGAAACTTCTGCTCCCTTGCAGATACGATGAATAAGCGCTAGGGCTTATTCTTCTGGCTGTAGTGTGAGCCAAAATTAAAACAATGGAGGAGAGGTGAAGAGAGCAGGAGGACAATAGTTCCCAGACTCTTCCCCAAAACCCCTGCAGCCAGGGCAACATCCCGATCTGCTGCTTGGATCACACCAATGCTGGGGGCAGGATTCGAGCTCTGTAAATAATCAGTTATCCACAAGCCTGGAAAAAAGTCTGGACGACAGCTGAGGGTAACACACCAAACCTCATGTTTTATTCCATCAAAACATTTTAAAAAAAAAGTTAGGATCTAAATGGGTTTGAATATAACATGTTGTTTGGGAAACCAGAAGCACGGTGAGGTCTTCTGGGTTTTTTGATAAAATGAAAGGACACCAAAAGCAATTCCAGAGCAAGAGATTTCACTGTGTGTACACAGAAACAAAAGTTTGAGGCAAAGGCTTAGGAATTCTGTCTCCATCCTTCAGAAGCAGCTTGGCAGGAAGAAAAGTTCAAATATCTCAGTGTCCAGTGACAGTCTGAGATGCCTGGCTTTCCTTCTGGTCATTGTGAAACTTTCGCAAGAACAGTAGTGTTTATCATTCTCTGTTAGCACTACAATGACACAAACATAGTTATAATCCATCTCCAGTGAAGAATATATTGCTCCAGTGTCTTTTATTACTGTCCTCAGCAATTAGGTACAGACATATCCCCATTTGTACAACTGTCCCAGTGGTGGTTTCACTTACGAGTAAGCTTTATATGCTGTAAATAGATAAGATAGCATCCCAGACCTGCAGGGTAAAGTGCCATAGTACCGTGAGACTTGGCCATTAAGAAAGGGCTGTTTCAGGCAACCTACACTGGCCAAGGTCTTCTAAAAGCATCCCAACGTTTTTGGCTCCTGATTGCTATGGTGGCCCAGAGCCTCCTCTCTCCAGGAATAGTCCCCTTTATGCGACCTTGCCCAGGCTAGTTATTGCTCGACAACCCAGCCTGCAGCCAACTCCGCCTCAGTTTTCTGCCTGTAATACAGGAATGTTTCTCTCCTAGCATTTTGATTGCCTTGCTGTTTAACTTACTTGCCCCTTTAGAGTAGAGATCAGCTCTCAGAGTACATGCAGCACCCACGTTACAGCCACCACCATCACCTCTGCCAGAGCCGACTAATCAACCTCTTCTACCTCTCTTTCACCTGCAGTGAAGAAACAAGACATCGCCAGCACCGTGGGAAACCAGATGCCGATCCTCCAGTGGGAAGACAAGCGCGGCTTGGCCTTTACCAAGAACAACCTGAGTTATTCCAGCAACACACTGGTGATACCTGTGTCTGGGGACTACTATGTCTATGCTCAGGTCACTTTCCGAGGGCCCATTGAAAGTTTCGATAAAACTGTAAATTCTGTTACTGAGATCATCACCAAAGTCACTGACAGTTACCCCGAGCCCACCCAGCTGCTGACTGGCACCAAGACCCTCAGTGAAAAAGGAAACAGCTGGTTCCAGCCTATCTATCTAGGCGCCGTGGTTTCCTTAGAAGCAGGGGACAAGCTAATGGTCAATGTCAGCGACATCAAGCTGGTTGATTATACTAAGGAGCACAAAACTTTCTTCGGTGCTTTCTTACTGTAGGGCTCTGGCAGCAGCTGGCAGGGGCTTCCCTCCTGGGTCCCGGTGTCGCTCACTAAACCTTGACTCTGTGCGCACACCTTGGGGTGCTGCTCTGTGCTGTTAACCTTCTGCATTGCCCCTCGTCCACAGCCCAGTGCCCTGTGCATCCTTAAATTAAGGGATGGGGAAAGCCGAAGATGCAGGCTCAGTTGAAACAACCCAAAAGCCCCAGAAAAATTGAAGTTGGGGGTGGGGGGGAAGGAAAATATATTTGCAGGTAAAAACTCAGAGCTCTTTGCAATTTTGTAAAGTAGGGAGGAACAGTTTACACTTGTGGGGTAAGAATATTGAGTAGGAATACTGATCTTGAATAATACAGCTAAGCTACATCATTAGTTCCACCTCCAATAAGCCATTTCCTCACCTCAGAAAAGTACTTTAAACTTTCCCCAGCATTTCCAGTATAACTTTGCATGACCTTTCTTCAGATTCCCTGTACTAAAAGGTAATTACTTCTCATCATTTCCTTATGAATAGATTTGCTCAATACTTTGCACTAGTATAAAGCCTAGTTTAATCATTAACTGCTTAATTAATCTCTTCCAACTTCCCTGTAAAGTAGATTAAAATTATACCTTGTAGTTTGCAGAAGCTACCTGAATTTTTTTTCCAGGAAATTGTTTGTAGTTCTTTAAACCACTGTACAGCCCCAAGCCTTTATGTAGAATTTCTAGGGAACGTGCAGAAACACTTTCTGTTTCAGCACAACAGTGTATCTCCCTCCCAGAGCCTAACATTAGGAAACATAAAAAGCAAGGAGAGTGAGGCATTTGGCACAATTTTTCAAGCGGCCACTGAAATTTTAAGAGGAAATCTCTGTGATATTTTGCTTTCCATTCAGTGGAATGCAAAGTGAGTGCAATTAAATAAATCACTTTCTTGGTGCCCCTTTGCAACCATTGTCAATGCTACTGCAGTCTCCTAAAGACAAAGGACTCCTCAGCCTTTCCTACAGTCAAAAGATCCAAAGATAAGATCATGGCATGCCTCAGCCAGGCGCAGAACTCATGAATGCTTCACTTCCCATCTTGCACTTCCTTACTTTCATAGACTTTACAGTGTCTCAGGGAAATTCCCCAGCCGGCCTTCTCTTCCCACAATAAATCAATCACTGGCAATGGCTCAAGTCACATTCTAGTAGATTCAAGCTTTACACTCCTAAGTGCTAAGAGGTCTCAAGCTCTCACACTTGAGCGCTTCCCAACCTGCCCATCTGCACGATCAGGCCAACGGCCAAGATTCATTCTCTGAGGCTCTTTGTTCCCTGCCTTGCCTCATTGCACTTCCTCCACTCTCCAGTCTCTGGCCAGAAGCGATAGCAAGCTTAACATTTTCATTCAGAGCCATGGTGGTACCAAAAGCACACATCAGAGAGGTACTGAGGCTTGGGAGGACATAGGACTGGGGATGGGGAGTTGTAGCTGAAGGGTTCAAATAGAGAAATTCTCCACAGGATACAAACCCACAACGGAAGGCAGTGAGTGAAATCGAGCTCCACTTGCAGTGAGGCCAGGCTGCTCTGTCCACAGCATGTTCTTCCTAGCAGGAGACAAGATATTGCCATATTAACAAAAAGATCTATTTTGAGTGGACAAGAAAAAAGTCACTAGCACAGCTAGAGCATACAGCATAGAGAAAGCCCAAGGCAGACTGGAGATGTGGGAGGCAAGGAGCAGAGGGAAGTGGGAGACCCAGGCAGCACTGAGATCCCTACCTCTTCACAGCGGGGTACAAGCACCTTCGTGCTGACAACGTGACTGCTCCTCTTCAACCTAGCAGACCCGTTACATAGTGAACCATCTTGAAAAAGCAGGCTACCTGACCATAATTCCCTGCTCCTAAGTGCCTAGGTCCCATAGTAGGTCTCGGTCAACCTTCGCTGTGTTACCTACACCAAGATAGTACTAAACGTACCACAAAAGCTACGACATTGCCATCTTGCCCTGCACTTCCTTCCTCAGGGGGCATATTCCTTGCTTCCAGCTCCTCCGTTCAAGTCTAGTCCTTGAGTACAGGTTCACTGTACAACACTGCTGAGCTAGGCAACCTGGACAATACCCCTGCATCAACATCCTATTATAGTTGAGCATCTCATTCTTTGACTCGTCCTTCGTTTTCTCCCCACTAACATCTCAGCAGTCCTCTTAGTCCATTTCTCCCAGATACCTTCCTGCCTTCTTCTCCCCTCTCCATTAGGTACAAGGATACTTCTTTGTCCAATTCTGCAATTTTCTACATGCAACTCCTCTCTTAAAATCATCCTGCTACACGGAGAGAACCAGTACCCGAAAACAGATCAGGGAAGCAGTAAGTAGCAGCAATGTTACTGCTGATACACATAAATGTTTTTGACCAGAATACTCTATTTATTAGCTAGATTCACTTTCATCTTTAAGTCCTTATTCATGTGTTTCCTCTCTCTCTTAAGGTTTTTCTTTTCAGCAAAAAATGGTTCTTTGAGACAGAAACAGTTATACTCCAGGTATCCATCCAGCACCTTGCACACTGCAGCCTGGCCTTCTCGCACGTCCAAAAGAGCGATCTTGCCAGAGAAAGGCCTCACTCACCTCCTTGGCAGGGCCGTTTCTGCTGCTCAGAAACCCCAGCTGTTCCCCTCTGCCATTGTAAAATCCAGTGAAATTCTATTCTTGGCTGTTCAAGATAGGGATATTCTCTGAGAAACCCTAAGACTTTCTGCATCTCATCATATTTCCAAAAGTATTCTCTCAGCATCCCATATGCTGAGTCCTTTTGAGCTTCTGATCCCTTAGTTGCGTGGTCTAAACCCAGGAAACCATGAAATCAGCAGCCAGCTAGTTTTGTGTCACCCTCACCCCAGGCTTTAGGTGCCTGCGGCACCATACAACACAATAGAGCTTATAAGGAGAAAATCTACAAGTGATCTGTCCAGGACAGATGATTCTCAGCAACTACGTAGAAAAGCTTCTGTGAAGTGTTAAATAGGATGAACTTGATTTATTCTTGGAAAAAGTTAGAGTGCAAATTCTTAACTGTCCCAAGACAGTTACAGAAATTCAGAAATCTTTTTGCTTCTATAATGAGATGATGTAGCATTCTTCTGAGGGCATAACACAGTCCCGATAGGTTCATAGAGCAGATTTCCACAAAATTTATTCTTGGGTCATCATGACAATGCCTGACGCACTGAATCGTGGTAAAAATGAGTTGTGGGAGAGAGGAGTGGTGCATGAGGTATTTGGCATATAATAAGAGTCCCATGGGATGTATATACACACACAGACATGCATATATATGTATATTCAGTTCAAGTCCTAGGAATCCCTAGAGCAATAATGAGCTTTTTCTATCACAAGGCACATAATTTGTGTCCGCTTTACACTGATAAATTTCACAACCAAAAAAAACTGCCTGCTACAGCTCAATAACAGCTTTTACTCTTGTCCCATTATCCATAGCACAAACAACTATTTATTTTAGTCCATTTAGATCAAGATTTCATACCTCATTTCACAAACTCACTTCTAGCACATTAGCATATTGTATATAGTATAAAGTAACATTCCTGGCATTACTTGTTTTAAAGTAGTGCAAGCATATTAACCCATACACCTACCCCAGTGGAAATTTTCTTTTTTCCCTGCTCAGTGCTGATAACGTTTCTGCAACAGCGACAAGCAAGTTTAAAAGAAACACATGGGGCCGATTGTAACCCCAGCGTCAATCACAGGTTCCTCCACAGAAGCCAATGGCACAAAGTCAGGGTATAGCTAGTTAAGTGAGATAGAGGTGCAGCTCAAAGGAGAATATGTCAAGTAGCCTGAACCCAAGGTAGCTTGTCATATTTTTCCAAAACTAAATATGGACAGAAGTGTTCCCAGAAAATCACCATGTTCATTGAATTAGAAAATGCTCTTAGTGTAAATCATTTCTGGAGATGTGAAAATGCATATACATCAGTGTTTTCAATTGAACAAGTACATGATGAAATCTGTCCATGTGAACAAGTGACCTTACAGTCACTTTTTGTTTTCAGTTTATGGTCAAACCAAAAACCATTTTTGTTTGGGTGGATGTGAAACTAAAACACTTAAGAAAAAATCCAAGCTGAGGAAGAAGGGTCAGATAGGCAGCTCCTGCTAAATGAGCTAATAACAACTGATTTGAGATTCTGACCCTTGTGCCTCTTAGGAGGGGGGAAAAAGGACACTTCTCACAACAAACTTAAAAGATTTTTTTAATATGAAATCTGATTTTTTTTTTTAAAGGAATTCTCCTCTTCCTTCTCTTTTTAATCCCCACAAAAACTAACACTAAATGTAACCCAAATTCTTAAGAAGGTTCACTTACCTTTTCCTTTCCCCTTGCTCATAAATCAAGTTTTGGTAAATAAACATCAACTCACTCTCTCCCTATAAAGACATTTAAATCACTTAGCTACAAATGACTGCAGCTCCAGTCTTGTCAACATATACTTGTGCTATACTTAACATTAAGCATGCAGCTATAGGGATGTCATTGTAAAGAGAAGTGTGGGTCAGTTCTCCTATTTGGTGTATGTGAGGACTAAACTCTTCATTGCTCCAGCTGAAAGTGGATAAAGCATCTTTTATCTGTGTTTACCCTCAACTACACCATTACAGGAGTAACCTTCCAAACGAAGAAGGGCTCATCCGTCCCCTGCTCAGCACACACATGTTGGCAGGATTAGAGTCTGGAGGTGGAAAGCAAAAGGGCAGGCTCCTGAGCAAAACATGTCCCAAACAGTAAAGAGAAAGTTAAGCTGTTGAGATTATTTTGGACATATTCGGGGAATACTGGGTCGAGCAGATGCCCAGCATGAAGGGACACTACGGGGCTCCACAGAATTGCCAGCACAGACCAGATTAAGGGATTCTTTTGTGATTTTCTGTAGTATTCTCACCAACAGAGTCAAATCGCATTCTGAAGGAACTTCATTTTTCAACTCTGTATGGTCTAACTGACCATTCTGTGCTTCATTTTATTAATCTCCTGAGTGGCCCATCATTTCAGATGAGAAATGAGGAGAAAATTCATTCTTTAGAAGAATCAGACAGTGTCAAGAATTTTTGCCCAGATATGGGTATTAGACAGCAGTATAGCATTTTGCTATTGTTATGTATTTTCATATAAGTGATTGTATATTGTCTTGTGCTTCTGTACTGATGTGCATCTTTACCAGTAGAACTGAGTTAGCTTCTTGTTTCCAAGTTTTATGATAATAAAAATGTAAGTTAACTAATGCGAGGACTTCTGATGCTGGTCCCCTTCTGAAAGCACTAACCAAATCACACCATTAAGGGTATTCATCTAACACAACCAGACAAGGTTAACGTTTAAGAAACCTATTTTGTTGTGTGCTAATGTGTAGATGACCATTACTTCATGCGCAGTTGAAAACAAAAGCAGTCACCCCACCAGAGTGATTCAGACTCACATTCAGACTTTCTTCCTTGCCTTGGGGATTTTAGAGGCTTGTGTTTCAAAAGATAAAGTAAGGACTGATAACTTTTTCCCCTCGCCTCCAGTCCTTTCTGCTTTGCAGCATGGAGAATAGCTGGTTCCTTACCCCACCCTTGTTATTTCTTAGCCTGTTTTGAAAAAGCAGCTCCCATGGAAAAGCAGTGCTCATCAGAAACTGCATCCCAGTCATCTTCAGTCGCCTGAGGCAGGGATGGATACACCCCTGTCAGCACATGTGAACCAGGCCATTCAAGCCACACCTTTGGACACTGTCCCCTGGCCAAAAAGCCATGTTTGCCCTATCTACAGCCTTACAGAAAAGTACTCTGGCAGCTGAGAGCTTGTTACCAGGTACAACCAGACTAGGAAATTTTGGCCAAATGAAGGCAGAGCCTCCTCTGAAGGCAGCAGAACTCTGGGCACCCTTAGTCCCATTCCAGCTTGAGTTTTGCTTTCCTTAGGCTTTCAGCAGAACAGCATCCATTAGATTTGTATTTCTTATCCCAAGTAACGTTAACTTCGCCTCAGAAAATCCTCTAGCTCCAAGAATGCAAAAACTTCCTTTCCATTAGCAAACTTGAGAAACATTCTCCCAGAAGGCATATTATTTTAAGATTTTCACAATTTGTCATTTTTCTGGCTTTAAACTAAGGGTGTAATTCTGAAATTGCTTCAGAAGATTTCTGAATAAGGACTCTATGCTCTGGCTGAAAGAAGGATTTTTTTTTTTTGCTTGGGAATTGTAACAGAGGAATTTTGTTTGCTCTGGCTTTCATCCACACACTGTCATCACATACTTGATGTTTTGCTGGGTTGTGGGTGGCAGCATCAGTAGAACAGCCAAGAGTTAGAGTGTAGGAATTAGACCACTTTCTTCTATAACACAGCTAAAAGAGGCTTGTTAATCCAATAGCTACCTCAAGTTAAAAAATAGCAAAGGTAATTTTTTTTTTTTAATTCTCTGCTTTAACTTGAGCCAAACAAGCTGAAACCCCTTGTTTTATTGCTATGTTTCTCTCCCTTACCTATATGGAATAATAACCTGAATGAACATATTTGTAGTCTAAATACATTGACACACATAGTCCCTGCATGTGACCACTGGATTTCATTTTGCCCATCTTTAACCACACAAAAGTTAGGTGTCTAACCTAATAAATTTCTAGAGGCTCCCTCTGTAGGGAGTAGAGAAAGATGAACATTTCCAAAAGGCTACATGTTTTAGGGAAGGTGGGGATAACTGAGATGCTACTCCTCCAGAGCTACACAGGAACAGAAGAAGGCTAGATAGACAATATTTTGCTAGCTAAATGCCTGTAAGATAACTGCAGCATTCAGCCAAAAGACATCTATCTTTGACAGTTACTGACCAGCACTGCACTCACTTTCTGAGGAGGTTTGATAAAGTTACCCAGCTCCTGTCTGGGCAGAATATCCATACTGCTTAGTATTAATACATATACACTCACCATTATGTATCTTGAGAGAAGGTATATCCTTAGATTCATACAGAGAAGTTGTTTTGCCATGGAATTCACCCCACAGAACAGACTACCCACACCCACTTAGTTTTCTCATCTCTGATCTGTTGGCCAAGATGCTCAATCACAGCTGGATCTGTTGCCTCCCCGGGCTGTTCTTGCAGGAAGACCCCCTTTCCAAGAGCTGGAGACAAGGCCAGTGCCATAGTTAATATGTCCACTTTTTACAGGAGAGCATCGAGTTCCCTCTGGTAGGGAATGGAGGTTTTGTCTCCTTAGTCTAACCATCTTGCAGGATGGAGCACAAATTAAGATGAATTGGAATGATGTGCACTCCTGGGAAGGTGTGGACTACAAGAACTCCAGCTCTTGAACAGGCAGCTGAATGAGGGACACCTTCTAAAACACTCAGCATCTGTCTGATAGAATTTCAAAGGAAATTCTGACTCCATTGCTTGGTTTCTTTTGAAGACCTGGCACCAAAGCTAGTTATGAATCTCTTAGAAAGTACAAGTAGGAGCCAAGTTTGTCAATGGTGATAGTTTCAAATTCATTGTCTCGTAAACATTACTGAAGTCCTGTAGAATACCGTGAAAGACATTGCCTACAAAGTTGTATCTCCTTTTATTACGCACTGTAAGTCAGGAGCATTTGATCTTTTTGCTGAATTATGAACTAGACTAGCTTTCCAGATGCTCTTATTTTTACACAAATCAAGTTATGTTTTTTCATTGATTGTAAAGTTTTATATTAAAACATCAGGAAGGCCACTGAAAGTGTTTGCTGCATATTTATTGACACTGTATGTATAGTTGTCTTAATGTAATGTAAAAAATTGTAAAAATCATGATAGAGAATGAACTTTAGATTTATTGTATAGCCATTTCTTTTAGCAGATGGCTTTGATGCCTTCTGACAATGAAGTTTTTAAACAGTTCTTAATCTGCTTTGTCTCAAAGCAAAAAAATAAAACCATTTTGATTCATCTTGAATCAAGAGTCTTGTTATTCTTATAAGTATCCACTAACTGCTTATACTAATGATTGGAAATGACAGGCATTTATTTGTGCCAAAGTGACTTGTGTCCTATATTTTCCATGTCATATAGGATCTCATATGCATATTTTTGTATAAGCAATTAATGTCTCTAAAGATGACTACTCAGAAGGAACAGTGTATGAGCAACACATACCAAAAACTTAATTCAAACATTTCAGACACAGTGAAATTTATCCCTATTCACCCAAGAACAGAAGTTTCCACATATTTCCACAAGCCTTTATTTTACAATCTTATACTAGAGCATTTTGCTCTAGTGGCATATGATTGTATATCTGGACAGAATTCAAAATTGTAATCTCACTACTCTTTTTTTCCCCCTCTGGTCAAAGCTAACTGAATCTCATCTTCATTGTTAAGAGTATCTATCTCTTGCTAGCAGAAAAAAATTGAAAAAAGTCTCTGCATCCTAAAGACAATATACCTTGCTTTAGGATAAAAATTCACATTTAATTGCTTTCCACTTAAAAATAGTAAGATTTAGTAATAACCTGTGTTTTGAGATTTGTTTAGAATTTCACAATGTTTGAGCAGGACTGTATTTGTGATTCAAAAAAAGACTTTGCATAGATGACCTAAATTTCTACTTCTTGCAATAAGAGTCATTTGACTAACTCCATAAATTACCATTGCCGTAAAAAACATGAACGAAAAAATCCTGTTCTCTACAGTAATGCAGTTAGTTCGTGGGTTCCCACTGGCAGAAGCGAACTCTCATTTTAGCTATCTGCAAGTCAGGTGTTTAGTCTAATTTCCTCTATAGTCAAACAGAGGGAGAAACGGAGTGACTACTAGCAGACATCTCCCTTGCTATATCAGCTACAGAGAGCTTAATCTTAGCTGTGCTGAAACATTTCTAAGCAGTAGGAATCACACCTTGAACATCTTCAGTTCTGAACTGAAATAATTGTTTGGACAAGCTGCTCTATTTGTGGTCCATAGAAAAGACAGCTCAGCATTCCCTAGAACCAGAGCCCAAAGTTCCTGCACCTGCCCACAGGGTTGCTCTCTTCCTTCAATAATCAGTGCAATAGAAAAGCATCTTTCTCCTCCCTCACCGAGAGGATAAACACATTAAATAAGGAGAGCACTGTCATATACCGCAAGAGAAGAGGTTCATTGTTCCCTGCTGATGGCCCATAGAGCTAATTATTGCAGAGGTGCACAAACATTGCCCAGAGTTTCAAGCTAGTCTTTACAGAGCCAGTGTAGAGGCATATTTATGCATGCAGAGACCAAAGTGGCAGAGGTCTATTAAGATATAATCAAGCCAACAGCTGCCAGGGCATGATCATCCTTTAAATTATGCAGAATAGATATTTGCTCACTGCAGGTTCCTTTTCTCATCAGTTCCCAAGAGCAAAGGATGAAAAATGATATCCTTTCAGAGAGGGTTTGAGCAAGTGCTGCTCGTGCCCTAGTGAAGTCGTCTTGCTGAAGAGCTGTTTGAAGAAAAGGAAGTGGGACATCTGTATGTAAAACAGGGGAATCTCCAGAACAAAAATATGGAGATATGAAGCAGCTTACTGCTATAGCAATGAGAGTGCTCCTCATTGCCACTGAATTATCCAGTGAGTAGGTAGGAAAGATATCACAGCATGCAAGAATGTCAGTATCTGTGTACAAATCTCCAGGTCCACTGGAACTAGACAGTCACCAGGGCTCTGCTTCTACCACCTCACACATGGCAGCATCTCAGTGTTTTACCTTCAGAGGTCATCCCTTTATACTCCTTTAATAGAGGAGGTTAAAAGAAGGTGTGAGATAAAGATTGAAGAGGACCTTTTCTCTGTCCATAAGTAGAGACAATTCTCACATAGGCTATAAATATAGGGCTGATCTCCTGCATGTTTTAGGCATGTTTTTTTTGAGCATATTTGCTATTCCTTGTTTCAGCTGCTTCATACTCGCTTCTCTATTACAATCCCCATTTCAGGAAAACATTTATGAACCTATTCAAAGGTGAATATGTAACACAAACCATTTTTTTGCAGGAATAGTTTTCTCTTTGAGTACTTTCTTGTTTCAGTGGGGTACCACGAGGGTCCTACTTTCACATAATAATTGCAGCAATGAGAACAGTTCTTAAATGTCATTTTAGTTTGTTTATTCTTGTGGGAAGTCCAAGAGGTAGCTGAGGAAAACAATCCACTATTTGCAGAGCGATTTTGTTGGGCACATAAGAATGCTGCAGTCACCACAAGGAATTTTCCATGTCATTTCTTCCCAGAAAGTCTTACTATTTCACAGGCTGGATCTCCTAAGTGATATGGCTAAGTATTATGCTACACCAGGACCTGGTTTATGCTTTCTGGAAAATCCCAGAGGAAGGCACATGTGCCATGAGCAGGGCTGGAGTGAGTCAGCTATGACAACAATGCAGCAAATAGCCTGCCAGCAGACAGCACACTTGCACTGCAGGCAAGGATTTCTGTAACCCCAGGGCAGGGATGGCCTCTTGGCTTCCAGGCCATCCTTCCATTAAGCACATACATTACTAGGACCCAAAACTTCAAATACTAAGCTAACTCAAAACTTATGAGGTTTACACCCACCTTCAGGTGAGCTCAGAAGCTATTTGAGAGCTTCCTGTGTTGAAGAGAGCTTCCCTAGAGGCTGGGGTGCAAGTGCTTTGATTAGGATGGCAAAAATAGACCCTGGCTATAGCAGAGTGATAGCCAATACAGAAGAGCTGACCACACAGGACAAGCACCTCTCCAGACGTTTGAGGCTGTGGCACCTCAAGGTAGTCTCTGCTCTCTACTCCTCTGTACTTTCCTTTAGCAGAAAAGGCCTTCCCCAGCCCCAAGTGTTCCCCTTCACCTCTATTCCCACACTAGGTACCCTATACCTGCTGCCACAAAAAAAGCGTGTTTACCTTGATTTTATAGCAAGGCCTGTCTAGTATCAAATCTGGAAGTGAATCAAGGTTCATTCACTTAGGCTTATGTTTACTTAGCTTAGAAGTCAGTAGATTAACAGCCTCAGTGAGGAAGAGGGCAGTGTTTTGTGAAACATAAGCTGAATGAATCCAATAGCATTTATTGTCCCAGCTTCTGAAGGCCCCACCTTCAGTACTTTCCTCAACTCTTGGATAAGCAACTCTGCCACTCCTAGAAATAAACAGCCAAGTACACGTTAATTCATTAAAAGTACAGTATTGGCAGTGTGCCTTCTGTTTCACTCAGCTCAGGATCACCTCCTCCTGCTGCACTGAGCTTCCCAGGATGTTTGTACATTGACCCCAGGATATTCTCAGACTACAGTTAAAGGAGGAAGGGGAAAAGCCTCAGGTGGCATCTTTGACCTCCCTGGCATTTCTTATCAAGCTAGCAATAAGGCTAAATGCATGCTTAGAACAATGCTGCCCCTCCTTTCCTGCCAGTCATGGGAGCAAATGCTCTGCTCCAAGACAAGCCATAAATGAGTTTGGTCATCATCAAAACACTACAACAAATAGAAGCATCATGAGGAGATACCAGCTGTAATGAAGCCCTTGGAAAAGGTATCTCAGCCCAAAGATGAGCTTTGTTTCCCTTTATCATTGGGGGACAGTCAGGGTCCTCACAAAGTTGGTTCTTCTGACACAGGGGTCCCTTTCTAAAAGGCCCTGCCACACTTCAGAGGTTTAAGTGTCCCTTCTTCCAATGGTCTTACCCCTGGAAATTGATTTTGAGTGGAAATTTTCTACATTACATCAAAACTGTAGGAGCCAAGACCACTGTTAAGTCTACAGACGACAGGCTAGTGGTGGAAATTATATATATAAGACTCAAGAAGAAATCATTTCACATTCCCACCAACCCCTCTTCCCTGGTTTCCATGGGAAGGAAGCACATGCAAAAGGACCAGACAGGAACCACAGGGTGCTGCTCTATCCACACTCCTAGAGTGCATGGGTGCACTGTAACTCCATTTGTCAAGCAGTCTAGACATGCCCATGTCTCCTGGTACAGCTGTTTGGATTTACACCAAGACAGCCGAGCATTTCCCCAATAAATCCAAGCCTGAAGACCCTTAAAGACACAGAAACATCCTGAAGCACTGACCAATGGTGCATCTAGGCCAGTTCTTGAACAACAGCTACAGAAGATGCTGTTCGGGGAGAGGATGCAAGTCCAAGCACTATTCGTTTCACTTCCCTCCTAACCTATTGCATCCACAATCATTGTAGCAATGGTTTCAGAGGGTACATCCATGCCTATTCCCTTGCTATTAAGGTCATGAACACCAGGTCCATAAATAGCCTAATCTCTTTCTAAATATGCTCATATTATCTGCCCCTGTGTCTTCCCACGGGGGATTCCTTAAATGCTTTACCCACTGTGTCAGAGGAGACTCATCCATTTCAACCTGAAGGGTAAAACAATACTCAAGCCCAGGGCTGCATCACTCACCTGGAGCTCAGGAGAGATTAGATCACAGGCTGGTCTGGAACAGGTTCACCTTTTTGGCAGAAGCTTCAGAACATGAGTTACATGTCAACATACATGTTTCCTGTTTTCCATCCAACTCCCTGTACCACATACAAAAGCTCTCATCAGAAGCCACAGTTATGCCCTCTTCTCCTCCAATATGGTGGATACTGGGATTAGTGTCTAGCCTGTTGGTGGTCTTGACTGCCAAATCAGTCTTGCAGCCCCAGGAATTAGCATGGATGTTAATAAACCAGAGACTGGTTAGCTCACTGCATGGTATCAGGCCACCCTCCAAGGAGCTGAGGATTCCTTCCAGAATCCTATATACACCTTAGTCAAAGAGGTCAAGATTAAACTGCAGTCTCAGCTAGCTTTCAGGCTCTACTATTAATCAGATACCACTGAGCAAGTGCTATTTCTTTTCATCCTGTCTTCTCACCCCATTCTTGTATATCATTAATCCATGAAAGCTTAAAAATA